GACACTCTGCATGTCAAGAGGTACATCCACCTATAAGTCTGCAGTTCTGAACTAGTTGAACCTCATTAATTGACTGAAAAACACTCAGAAGATAAACAGTCGACGAAGATAAAATTCAGAACCATGATTGCTATCGAACAGGAAGAGCATTGTCCAATTCTGTTTCAGTACCTCTGTTCTTTCAGTTATCGTGGCAGCAAGAAGAAGACGGGGAGATGAAGTGGATAGCACAAAAGTTTAAGGGGCCTAACGGATACTTGAACTGATGAAGTTGGACTAGTACTTTCGGATATCTCCAAGAGGACAGATGAAAACCACTTCTCAAAAGTGAAAATCAGGAACAGGCAAGGGTAAGTACTTGAAGGAGAACGCGTTGGAGGATACAATTCAGTTGCGACGAGGTAAGTAATAGGGAGTTGACGCGACTAAGGTTTCAAGCGCCGATTGAATACGGATAGAAGTTTCTCCAGTATCATTCCGATGGTATGTATGGCTTTTGCAACTTCCATTTCTTCACCACGAGCTCTCAGGCGTTCGTCGGTCAAAAGGTCATAGGACTAGTGCAGGCGGCCGTTGAACTGCATTTCTAGCCTTTCTGCATACGAAATCCGCCCATATTTTATGTCTTCTATAAACAGTACGCGTGGACTAAGAACTACATTCACTTCTGAATCGCGTCATCTATCAACGATTCGCTGCTCTGTGTTCTAATTCCGGTAACGGAAGTTACATCGACTCCTGCTCAAACTTGCGTTTCAATTACACCACCTACGTACTTGCGTGCAATCGCTCACGATGTGGGGTAACCTAGGGCAACTAGGTACGTGATCCGACATTCTCTTCTCCTTTCTTTTCCTCGCTTACATCTACCTGTTCTTGTGACCACAAGGAGCTCAGGCCATAAATGACACGCTCGATGGGATGGATGTTTTCGAGCTCTCACTTTCCTCTATGACTACTCGTTTCTGGGCACTCGTACCAGCTGTTTTGCTGGGTATCACTGCACCAGCTCGCAGCTTTGACTTTGACTCGGCATGCTCGTCAATAACTTCCCAAATATCCACTCCTAACGCGACGGTCTTCTTTTCCGAGCTCGTCCCTGCTGGTACAAACTTGTCGTTTCCCGACAATGACCCTACTTGCGGCCGACCGTCTCAGGTAGTTCTGACAGATACTTGTCGTATTGCCATGTTCATTGCAACCTCCAATGACTCTGGTATCAATTTTGAAGCTTGGTTCCCGCGTAACTGGACTGGAAGATTCCTCAGTACGGGTAATGGAGGTCTCTCTGGATGTGCGTTCTTCTGTATCCCATATAATCTGTTGTAATGTTTGTTGGTTACAGGTATTCAATATGAGGACCTAGCATATGCATCCGCTCTTGGCTTTGCTACCGTCGGTGCGAATAACGGACATAACGGAACTTCTGGAGAAGCATTCTTGAACCACCCTGGTGTCATTGAGGACTTTGCATACCGCTCGTGAGTATCCTTCTGTCCAATGTTTCTGCCAAAGTCGACGTTCTTGTTAGCATTCATACCGGTGTCGTCGTTGGTAAATCCTTGACCGAGACGTTCTATGGGTCACCTCATGACAAGTCATATTACCTTGGTTGCTCTACCGGCGGTCGTCAAGGTCTCAAATCCGTCCAAGACTTTCCCGAGGACTTTGATGGTGTGGTCGCTGGAGCCCCGGCGGCCGACTTTAACCATTTGCTCGATTGGAGTGGTCATTTCTTTGAAATTACAGGCAACACCTCTGCTCCCACTTTCCTCGCTGCAGAAAGATGGGTTGACCTTGTTCATCCTGATGTCTTGTCGCAGTGTGACGAAATTGATGGTGTAAAAGACGGTATTATCGAGGACCCTAACTTGTGTAACTATGATCCTTCGGATTTGGTTTGTGCAGAGGGTAATCAGACGGATGCGTGTATCACGGAGATCCAAGCGGAAACGATTAGAAAGGCGTATGAACCGTTCTTCATCGAAGGCAAGTTGGCGTATCCCCGCATACAACCTGGTTCAGAAGACGTGCCAGTCTTCTACACCGGGGCGCCGTTCATTTATACTGCCGTGAGTTGACCTTGGTCGCTTCCAGTCAACATGGTTTTCTGATTTTGACCCACGTTCATTGCAGGATTGGTTCCGCTACGTAGTGTACAGCGACCCATCCTTTGACGTAACGACTCTCTCCGAGAAAGACTGGGCACTTGCCCAAGAACTGGATCCTTTCAACATCTCTACTTGGAAAGGCGACATCTCCGCTTTTCGCGACCGACAAGGCAAGCTCTTGACCTACCACGGTCAGGCAGACGGCCTCATTTCTTCGAAGAATTCCGAGCGTTACTATGATCGTGTATCCGACATTATGGGCCAGGAGAGCACGCAATTGGACGAATTTTGGAGGTTCTTCAGAATCAGTGGTATGGGGCATTGTTCAGGTGGAGTTGGAGCTTGGGAAATTGGACAAACGCTTGCTGGTGCTGGAGGTGTCGGCAGCTTGAATTTGGATCCAGAAAGTAACGTGTTGATGGCTATGGTGAGATGGGTGGAGGAGGGTGTAGCACCTGAAAAGGTGTTGGGTACAAAATATGTCAATGACACTGTTGCCCAAGGTGTGGAGTTTGCGAGGGCTCATTGCAGGTACCCGTTGAGGAATACGTATGATGGGGTTGGGGACCCGACCAAGAAGGAGAGTTGGAACTGTCTGTAACTCCAACGTTGTTCGTACTTTTTCATTGCAATATATCCAGACTGAGCTACCATTCATCATGTGGCACTACTCGCTCCTGCTGTAGACAAACTCATCAAGTTCAACGTCAATCTTACATATAGGACTTGTATAGGACACACTAAGGATCGCAAAAAAGGCAGTACTGTAAGACAGTCAAAATGGTACTATGGCCGGGCCGGCACGGCGAACTCCAATGACGTTTCGATCAGGTGACTCAGGACCAATTTAATTTTTTCCGATTATGCTCCGCGTAACGATAGGGGTGAGTAAGGTCCTATTTTATAAAGCAACGACCATCTGCTGGCATATATTAACCGAATTTCTACTCATCTAATCAACTTAACTCTTTACCACCATCATGTCTTCCTCGTCGTCGCCCTCATCTGTGAACAACAAGAGTAGTCCTTTTGGAGCGTTAGCAGGTGGAGTCGGTCGTTCTGGTGCGTCACCCGACACAACTCGTGAATATTTGAATAGTCAACTGATAGAGTCCTGACCGTGTCTTCCAGCTCAACATATCACTTCCAAGCTCCAATCATACATGTCTAATCTCGAGACGACTCTGTTACCCGGAACAAGACACGGGGATGCACCTCCGGATCTTTGTGAGCTCGACTCGAGTTTCTCGAGTGCGAGTAGTGGCACAGTGAGGCGTAAATACATGTCGAGGGTGCGTTCTATCTCCGTATGCAAGCCACTCGTCCCCATTGACATCGGTTCATTTAACAGACAGCTTCGCAATTGACTGCAGCTTCTGCCTCATCCTCGATATCCACCACCTCATCAGAGTTTTCGAGTCCTTGATCCCCAGCCCACCCATTATTGCACACTAACAACTTCATCACTGCTATACCTACGTTTTTGCTTCTCTCATCCTCATGCACTCAGTACCTCCTGCAACTCACATGTGATAATAGTTTGTATATTACTTTACCATGCAACTTGATCGATCAATTTACCCCACCATTTGCATCTGATTCTTGCCCCAGATTTACAGTAGTTATGCTTCTTGAATAGACCTGTACATAAATATCCGTGTGGCCTACTGCCCTGGTCCGTCCGTATGCATCGACTTTTCTCTTGGCACCCAACTAGAATAACGGTACATTCTTTCCCCGGGTCTTCTAAACCTATTCCAAGGTTTCAGTCCCTTTTTGCTGTCTTTGACGGTGTTCTTATTAGAGTACAAGAGGCAAGGCATCGGACAATGGAGGGACGATCTTTGCCCGCGTGCGATCTCCGTCTTGTGCTTGGAAATCACAAGCCAGTCGTTACTAGACGGAAGCAGATTATAGAAACAATGGTTCAGCCTGTTGGTATGTCCGCTATGTATGGGATCCAGATGTGAAGCCGTACTTTCCATAGGCCGACGTGTCTGTATTTTTGATGCTGTAGATACTTGGCTATGATGTCTGTATTCGAAAGTAAGAGACCTGGAGCCTGATATGATAAAGAAACTGACTGAAAAAACCATATTGGCTTTCCATAACATGAGGAACGAAACTCAAAAGCAACTGCCAACCTCCACATAACACTTGCTACATAGAAAGCTGCATGACATATAGCGGCAAACCCTTTGGTAATTTGGAGAACGAAACGAGGGGTTCGCAGCGAGATTTGAGGGAGTACGACAGCTACTTGAGACGTGCCGATTTCTTCAGGTTCCTGTACCTCCCATGTGTTGTTCGAAAAAAGACTTCTGGTCATATTTGGAAAACCCCAAAAACCCAAGATAACTGTGTTGGGAATAATAGGTGCAAGGGAATGAATCTGAAAGAGAAGTCTTGGGCGTAATAGTTCGGAAACTCGGCATGTTACGCAGAGTAGATAGTGCCGGACCGGCAACCGACCTCACACCTTCAAAGAGCGAAGTTCTCGCAGCTAATGTGGTATAGCATGCAATTGCAACTGCTGCTCCGATATCCTGAGGTCGATCCACGCCGGTAAATTCAGATGAGAAGGTCTCTGGATCCTTTTTGCTGAATGTTGGGATTCATGTTTTCAAGTCAAATTGTGGGCGTGCCGATTTCTCCAGGAGTTGGCGGACCTTGGCTTGTAAAAGTGCCTGAGTACTTGAAAGACCCAGCAAACTGTGTTGGGAATGATGGGTATAAATGGACCAAACCAAGGGTTTGACTTTTCGAAGAAGAGTAAGTAAAGCTTGATGGACGTTAGAAGAGGGTATGAGGCAATTCGGAGGCTCGGCAGAAAAAATTGCAAATCTCTTGAAGGTAGGTGTTATGCGAGGCTGATATGAACTGCTTAAAGTTCTCGTAGCTAAGTGGTATAGCGTGGGATTGCAAACACTTGCAGTTACATCCCGAGGTCGCGTGTTCGATCCACGCCGGGAACTGTATGGTCTTTGGGGTGGTTCTTTTGTAATACACATGAGTTTTTTAAAAATCCCATTTGTTTGGCAATATTGTCAGAAGATGGGTACTGATGCAGCATGCAGAAACAAGGTATCGATAGAACGACTAAATATTCGAGTTTTGTTAGTCTGACACCATTTGAGAGTGATGGATTCCAAAAAGAATATTAAATTGCACCGAGTCGCACGCACGGATAAAAAGGAAAAATTCCACACCATCCGCAAGGATCCATCTCTGGATAAAAGGAAGAATACTTACCGAGGATTCAATTTTAACTGCCAAGCGGCGCATAAAAGCATGGCAGTCGATCATACGTAGTAAAGCACGAAGGAAACACACCCAAAGGTGCAAAAGTACATGGAAATTGCAAGCGCCAGACGCCCAAAGAAGTAACTTGAAGCAACAAGTGCGGCATATCGCGCGTACCTCACCAGTCCCCTCATTATTGTTAATTCTATTCTTGCTTCAGCCACCAATAGCGACATGAATACGATTTTCAGCCCTGGTTTGTCGATAGGGTTTTTTCAGTTACCAGGGTACGAGCCTCGAGGGAAGGGGGAGAATAAGGTTCAGAATACATACTTACAGCTTTGACACCACACATGCGTTTTCTAAGTAGGGTTTCGAATCTTCTTTTGTCTATTATTTATATCCCGAACATGTTTTTGTACATATATATATGTAGGACAATTAATTCCAAATCCAGGCCCTGCTGGCACGAAAGCGGTAAGGTGTTCAGCATGTTTTTATTATTCAACGGTAAAAGGAGAAGAACAATGGAAACCTCACCTCACCTTGTATGTAGGCGCTAAGGAGTAGCGGACTGCGGAAGCGGGATTCCGTTAGGTATTTAGGTGTTATTTTAGTGGGATGTAAAGAAGTAGGTGAGTAGGTAGCGAGCCTCCGAGGCTTGAGATTCAAGAGTATCGAAGTTGTTCGGACAGTTTCACTCAGATTTGCCGCCAGATGCCTTGCGCGCGCGTAGGCGGTCGAGACCTAGATGGTGAGAGCGAGCGCTATCGATTGAAAGACGGGAAAGCGCCGACCCTATGTGGATATTTAAAAGTATGAGTCAATGCATGTACGTCTGTATCCGTCGCGGGTTGGTATGAATGATGCGAAGTGAGATTTATACGTGGAAGGATTTACAATTGACCAATAGTGAGGGCTCGGGCATGCGCGAGCAAGGGTCCGAAGAAACAATTATAATCGGAAGGGCCGTAAACTGGAGGATGCGTAAATGCCAATAATTTTTACTGTCAAAAAAGGAATATATACATACGTATCGCGCAGACGGGCATCCAGTGGCGGCGTAGGAAATACTTGGGGATTTGACTATGACGAACGTTGGACGGTTTTAGTGACGTTCATGTGTTTTTAGAGAGTCCAGACCCCGTCAGCAGGTCCAACTGAGATATCGCCGCAGTGCAAGAAGCCATAGAAGACCTAGTCCAGGAGTTCATACGCATGTTTTTTCAGAGCAGACAGGTTTGAAATTCAGCCACAATCTTGGAAAGGTGGTCATGCCTGACACCTGATAGATACATTGATACATTGATACATTCGCAGATCCCTCCTCCGAAGGACGAATCGGCGCTGCCGGAGGCGCAAAGTAGACTTTTTATCTTCCGACGGAGCGGACGGAGCATCCGAGGATCGATACCTTCATTTTGGTGAGCAAATATCCGGACATCCGACAGAAAGCAACAAAGACGACGAGGGCTCTGCTTTGTGGTGGAAGCCTTTCATTGCTTTTCTCTACTTTTGTGTGTATACCCTTTACGGACATGCGTGGGCCACGGCTCCAGTAAACTCTAGTGCCACTTGGATTCCGAAATAGAATGGAAGAATCCGACATACATGGACTTGTCGGGGATAAGTTGATAGTCGATAATCTCCGGAAATAGCCTTGCCGGAAGTTGAGGGTCCTACGAATAAAGAAAGAAGGGATAAAACCGGCGTAGTGTCAACATGAGTGGAGATGCTGTTGGTGTCGGCCTTGCTGTTATAGACATGGGCGCTGTTAGAGACTGGAAGCTGAGACGTGAAAACGCGGGGAAAATGCATGGGAGTAACACAAGACCATTCTTACGTTACATTGTTGCATTGTAACGTTCCGAGAATTCTGAAGGTTCTGTGGAGAATTCTTTGAAGGTGCCTAGCCAAACAGGGTAGAGTTTTTATTAGCGTCAGTAGCACGGGACATACGAGCGGGCTGCAGGGAATAGTATGGTCTTGCTAGAACGGTCGTTGGCGGACGGTCATAGTCTTTCCGGGAGGATGATTTTCGTCAAATCAGTGATTGGTAGGTGCCTATTCGAATTCCATTTGCAAGGGACCAAAGTAATTGATCGGTCCCCGGGTTTCGCAGAAACGGAAATTCTTGTGGGCGGTGTGAAAGAAGCTGGCGGTGATCAGATAAAGAAAGCAGTACAAAGCGCAAAAAACTGGTATAGTTCATGTGGATGAAGGACTCGAGGCAAAAAAAAAAAGCAACGAGGAATGCTTTGTATTCGGTTTAGAAAGAGACTAGTGTATTAGGAAAGAAATGAAATATATAAAGGCAGGTGTGACACGGCGCCGTTTATATCGGTGGGATGATACACAACAAAAATTATTTGTCGTCAGGCCCATACGGCAAACCACCTCTTCATGCGACTACCATGTCCGACGACAAGCTGATAGCAAAAGTCATCGTCGAAAACGCCTCCAGACACACAAAACTCCTCTCCTCCATCGCCGAACTCGAGGATGCACCTCACCAACTAGCTCAAAACAGCCAAACTGTTTCCGAACTGCGGGGCCAAGTGGAGGAATGCGAGGCAAAGGTCGAGAGATTGTCAGAGAAGGCGAAACAGGAGAGGACAAAAGCAGACAACAACGAGAGGTTTGGGAGCGCGTTCAAATTTTGGAAGGGGAAGAACAAGAGTTCGGATGGTTCGTCCAAGAGGTATGTCCTGTATTATCATGGTTCTTTTTTTCTCTGACTCTCTTTTTATCATTTTTAGGTCATTAGAAGCCATGCAAGATGAGATGAGAGAAAGAGACAAGCTGTCGGGGCTGCAGCGAGCGCTCTCAGCCGCTGAAGCTGAAGTCAGTTCCATTACCACCGTTCTATCGTCGCGTTATCTCTGACACTCATTTGTTCAGAGCCCGGAGCTCAAAGCACGAGCGTACGAGTACGAATACCTCGACGCGCAACTAGACGCCCTCTACGGCCTCGTTTTCAGTGGACCTACCCCAGGTGATACCCCTTCTTATCATCCCTCATTGGGGACGTTTAATCCTTACTCACACCAGGCTATCCTCAAGAGGATGCATTAGAGCAGCAGGTCGCCGCTGCACGTTCAGTGCATCAACGAGTACAAGTAGATCTCCAAACGGAAATGCAAACCCTCGAGCTATTGGTCAGAGCGGAAAGGACGATGCGGGAGGCTCATTCAAAGTTGAAGGATTCCATTTATTGGGCAACAGCACGTATGTTGTCTCTGATCCATGATAGACTCTACATACTGACTGTTGACATTGTATAGTGGCCATGTTGGCCGGTGGTCGGTGAGTTTTGGCTGTTCTTTCCCCATGGCCCCCGGCTAATGCTTCCCTTCTAGTTCCGCAGAAATGAAGGAGGTCTCTGCGTTGAAGAGTGCACATTCATTAGCACGAAGGGCCGAAATGGAGTATAACGAATGTCAAATGAAATCTACACATGTGCGATTTTTGGAGCGAAGTAAACTGGCCAAAGAGTATGTCGTCGGATCAGCCCTTTTCATCACAGCATTCCAACACGTTCCTGATTCTTCTTCTCATAGACTTCCCCAGCGCAAGGAAGGCAATAATACATTCCATGGTGCGTCATTGATGGCAGTCGTCCTTCCAAACCCCGTTTGCTCATTGTAATATATCACATTAGAGGATCTTACGCAGCTGTCAAATGAGCTCTCGGAAAGCCAAAACCAAATCACGACGGAGCGAAAAGCTGCACAAGCTCGTGTCACATCGACAAGTCTGGTCGCAAACCAAGCCGAACAAACGTTGAACGAGTACCGCAGAGAACTCAACGCTGCTCGCCGAGCGATATTTGAGGAAATTGTCGACAAGGTCAATAACGGACAGTACAACCTAGATGAGAGAGAAGACGGTGAAGTAGAAGGCCTGGAGGATGCACCGCCCAGTTACGACTCGCCACATCCCCAGCCTTCACCGTTGGAGCTGGCGAAATATGTGCAGTACATGAGCTTGGGAGGTGGTGATATAAGCGTTTTGAGCGGGGGTATGGCACATTTCCAGAGGAATAATGGAAGCGTAGGCAGCAGTCGGCTCGCGAGCCCCACGTTGGATACAACGTTCCTCAACACTGACCCATACGGAGACGACCCGGTATCACCGTTATCGCCAGCAACAAGTATCATGTCGGCGTCAACGTCGATGTCGAGGTCAAATACGATAGACAGTAGTATGTGGTGTCGTCGTGCTTTCTATTGTTGGCTGACTCGATGTCTGATATTCTCAGGTTACTGGAGGGCAAGTTCTTCTTCATCGTCATCATCAAGAAGACCGCTACCAAGACCGCCGCAAGACCGGTAGCATCTTGGTATTATTCGTCATTCATACGTGTCATCATGTGCTTTCGTCTTTGCATGTCGTCCTCGTCCTCTCTTCTCCTTACGCTCTCTTGTCATTGCATCTGCACTCCTTTGAACAATTCATTCCTTTTATTCACCCGCTACGCTTGATGCCATCGTCCTTCATGTTTTCTTCCCGTACATATACCTTACCTTTACGGGTCTCATGTTTGACCCCGAGCGCGAGCGCTTCGGCACCCTCTTTCATTTACCCGCTTCTACCATCTTAATGCTTCACGCCTTGCGTATTGCTCACCATACTATTACAATCTACTCTACCATATCTTACTACTTATGAGCATCCGGCTTTCCCTGCTGTATATTTTGTTTATTTGGTGTTTGTTCGACCTCGTCCCACT